GCAACAGAGCCTCTGATTATTATCAATAAGGCTTTATTTAGGGACTAGTCTTCAGGAAAAGCAGTTTTGTATTTCATGATGTTATTGGTGTTATATTACATACAGTTAAACTTACTCAGCTTATATTTGATTGTAGAGGGATTTTTTTTTTTTTTTTTTTTAAAATTGGGGGGATTTTTTTTTTTCATGTTTAAGGCATTTCCTTCCATTCTGTCCTATTGTAAAGCTAGCTGTTTTCATCTTTTTCATTGGTAATAGTCTCATTGGGCTATACTGTGGGACTGTGCAAATACTCTTTTTTCATTGTACTTTGACCTACTTATTTTAGTATCTCCTGGTCATCATTACCTGTGATTACTATGGTGTTTCCCAAATATCATTTTGTGTTGCAGTCATTTCTTCTATACTCATTAAATGGAATTCTGTGAAAAGTGAATCACTATCAATCCAGTTACTCCAGCCAGAAACCTAGAAGTCATCTTCAAGTCCTCTTCTCCTTTCCAATTCATCAGCAAGTTCTACAGATTATATCTTTAACTCACCTTTTTCTTTTCATCTCCCTGCAATCATTTAGACTAAGCCATCATCTTCTCTTTTCTGCATGACAGTAACATCTGCCTAACTGGTAGATTATTTGACTCTAACCTCTAGGAGTCTCTGGTGGCATAGTGCCTAAGGCATCTGATTGCTAACCAGAAGGCTGGAGGTTCAAACCCACCAGCTACTCCTCAGAGGAAAGATTGGGCAATCTACTTCTGTAATGATACTGCCTCGGAAACCCAAGGAGGGGTCGCTATGAGTTGGATATGACTCGAGGACAGTGAGGTGAGGTACCCTCTACTCTTGCTCAATCAGCTTTCCACATGGTATGTTCTCATTGCTATAGCTTCAGAAATGGACACAATGCCTAGCACAGTGAATATATGGAATAAACACTTGCTGAAAAGATGAATTACCTGAATGCTGATAAGTAAAGTCATGGTTTCTAAGATATAGAAAACAGGTAGCAAACCAAATTCACAACTGACTCAAATATCTGCTCTCTAAAACTATATATAAGAACAAAATTTAGTTACATACAGAATTGGAGGAGGGAATTGTGGTATAAAATTTAACTGTTGGCCAAGCTGTCATTCATTCATGTATAAACAAAATATATTTTTCATAACTGAAGGGCTTTTGTTAGCCTTCCTTTAAAAAAAATACTTGAAACAATTTTAGAAGGTAAAAAAAATTATTTAATTATGAACTTAAGTATGGGAACAAGACTCATAATTAAAGTACTTGTAGTGATATTAGTGTAAAATGTTAAATTTACTAAGTGTTGTAAATTGATTCACAAAACTGAATGTAAAGGTCAACAATTACCCATAAAACGTATTATTCTTATAGCACATAAACTAGTGATAATTTTGGAAACACAATTACAGATAACATTAATAAAAATGATTATTTTTTAGAAAAATAAGTAATGATAGAAAACAAGGAAAAACATAGCTAAATTTCACAAGTGTTTGTAATAAATAAATATGTTAAGTATTTTCTTGAAAACCTTACTATTCTTTTTTTATGCTTCCATTTTTGTTGTTGTTGTTTTGTTTCCTTTACTTACGGGTCTTTTACTATGTTGGGAAAGTACACATTTGTAAAATAAAAACATAAGATGCATACCTCTCTCTGTTATCTAAGGAGAAGCCTGACGTTTACTCTCTAATCTCCTTCTGTCAAAGGCATCTATGTTTGAAAGATTTATTGATATTCATGCCTCTCTGGCTCTGTTGTTGTTGTTGTTAGTTGCTGTCTTGTTGATTCTGACTCAGAGCAACCCCAGACATGCAGAGTATAACTGCTTCATAGGATTTTGAAGCCTGTGACATTTCAGAAGCAGATCACCAGGCCTGCCTTGTGAGGCATCTCTAGGTAAATTAAAATCACCAACCTTTCCACTACTAGTTGAGTGTTTAACCATTCACTACTCAGAAAACTATCTGTGGATCTCAATTATCTACTGTTTTATGGGCCCATAAGGGCAACATCACATAGAAACCAAACCAAACCAAACTCACTGCCATCAAGTCAATTCTGACTCACAGCAGCTCCCTTTGGGTTTCCAAGGTGGTAAATCTTTATAGAAGTAGATTGCCCAGTCTTCCTTCCATGGAGTGACTGGTGGGTTTGAACCACCAACCTGCTTGTTAGCAGTCAAAATGCCTTAGGCACTATGCCACCAGAGCTCCTTTCACATATTCCCAGTATCAGGCAGAAAGTGCAATCTTGGTATAATTTCCACCCAATATTCTTCAATAGTTCCTAAGAAAGAAACATATTAGGTGACAATTGTTTCAAGAATATGAAGTACATGTTTTATATCGTTGTTGCTGTTGATATGTGCCCTCGAGTCGGACCCGACTCATAATGACCCCTCTTTGGGTTTCCGAGGCAGTATCACTATGGAAGTAGATTGCCCAACCGTCCTTCCGAGGAGTGGCTGGTAGGTTTGAACCGCCAGCCTTCTGGTTAGCAGTCAAGTGCCTTAGGCACTATGCTACCAGAGCTCCAAAATATGCTTCCAAATTAAACAAACTTCTGAGACTACGTACAGACCGTCTTATATGGTACCAACTAAATTGTTGTTGCTATGTGCCATTGAGTCGACCGGACTCATAGC